CCCCAAAACCCCAAAACCCCGGGATACTATATAGAATGTAATTACTAAGTATATTAGAATTATAATAAAAAATAACCAGAATCAATCGATATTTTAAACTTTATTATAAGAAGGCTAAGATTAATGTATTTTATCCTTAAGTTGATAATCGAATGATCACATTTCCATCCCTGATTTTAACTTATAAAAATAAGAATCTTCATCATCTGATAAACCCTAGAATGTTCCTTATTCTACCATTTTTCCATGATGTAAAACACATATCCAATCACAATTTCTAATCGTACTTAATCTATGGGCAATAACTATGCTTGTCCTACCAATCATAGCTTTTTCAAGAGCAATATTAAAAGATTCTTGAGATTATTCATCAAGAGCAGATGTTGCTTCATCAAGAATCAAAATTTTAGGATCTTTAATCAATGCTCTAGCTATTGCGATTCTCTACTTTTATCCACCTGAAAGCAGAGATCCCTTAAGTCCACATTTCTTACTGAACCCTTAAGAGAGTATAGTTGTATCAATGTTTTAATCTTCATTCTATTATTCGTGCATTACTTGATCTTGTGGTAACTTAAATGCCTTGCTAGGATTATGCTCTTAATTTTCGCTAAAATCATCTATAAATTAAAGAGCATTTGCCATCTCTGCAACTTCTTTTATTTAATCATCTGAAGCCTCACTGTTTCCATAGATAATGTTTTCCTTTATAGAGATGTTAAATAGTAAAGGTTCCTACATCACATATCCAATGGAGTTCCTAAGCAATTTCACATCATAATCTTTTAGATTGTTCCCATCTATTAATATGGACCCTTCTTCATAGTCATAGAGTCTTAGCAATAAATTTGCGATTGTGCTTTTACCAGAGCCAGAATGACCAACTAGAGCTACTTTACACCCCATAGGAATTTTAAGTGAAAAGTTATTCAGAACTTTCTTGTCTCTTGAAGGGTATTTGAAGCTCAAATTTCTGAATTCAATTTCACCTTATTAAATGATTTATTTTTATTGGTAGTTCATTACTTGGCCATATCTTTAATCTTTTTTTACTTTTTTGTGGGTTTCTATGATCTCAAATATCTTATTGGCTGACTATTTTGACTTAGAAACTGACGGTAATTGAGAAAATAATGAACCAGAACCAATTGCAGCAATAAATAATGTATAGACTCCAACATAGGTATCCTCTGGTTCATCATTGTATTTAAAGATAAAGATGGAAGAAAGGTAGAATATAAATGCAACGAAGAGAAATCTTATGCACTGAGAATATCCATAGATTATTCCAGAAATATGAGCTTGCTTGATACCTATTCTCTTTGGTTCTTCCAATAAAGCTTGATATTTTTGAAGTAAAAATTCTACATTCTTTTCTCCAAGGCTGATAACTGTTTTATAATTTATTATGATATCTGAGAGTAGAGCATTTGCTCTATCATAAGGATCTAACTAATCTTCATTATCTTTAACTTGCTTAGTTGAATTTTTGACTGAATTCCAAAATATTATTTACTCAGCCATGCCTCCAAGTATGAGAAATGGTACCACAGATCTAGTAACTAATGCCATTTTCCAAGTATTTAAAAATGATAAGGCAATGCCAATTAAAAGGCATACTGTTGCTTCAAGTATTAAAGCATATGTTTAACTGGTAAGTCCTTTAAGTTAAGATACATCCTCTTAAAACATCCCACTCAAAATACCAGGGGCTCTCTCCTTTTTATCAAACCATTCTATATTCTTACTAATCATTGAAGAAAAAAGTTTTTTTCTTATTCCAAGTGTTAAATTTTCACCAAGTTACGAATGCAAAATTCTGTTTATATATTCAAATATGCCCATTCCTACAGCTAGAGCTACGAAACCTCCACACCAAATATTCCTACTATTCACAAATGTTGGAGATAATCTTCCAAGCATTACAAACATAACTTTTGCAAAAATATATCCATACAAAGGAAATGCGAATGCATTACAGCAAGTAGTAATGAAGGTCAGGAAGATTTTGTAATTAGGTTTATAAAATTTCAAAATGAATTTTACTCCATATTAATTCTTCAATTAAATCGATTAAGTTGAATCAGACTTAATAATTTGAGGACTTAGTTCTCTTAGTATAATCTAGGAATCCCCCAAAACCCCAAAACCCCGGGATACTATATAGCATATAATTACTAAGAATATTAGAATTATAATAAAAAATAACCAGAATCAATCGATATTTTAAACTTTATTATAAGAAGGCTAAGATTAATGTATTTTATCCTTAAGTTGATAATCGAATGATCACATTTCCATCCCTGATTTTAACTTATAAAAATAAGAATCTTCATCATCTGATAAACCCTAGAATGTTCCTTATTCTACCATTTTTCCATGATGTAAAACGCATATCCAATCACAATTTCTAATCGTACTTAATCTATGGGCAATAACTATGCTTGTCCTGCCAATCATAGCTTTTTCAAGAGCAATATTAAAAGATTCTTGAGATTATTCATCAAGAGCAGATGTTGCTTCATCAAGAATCAAAATTTTAGGATCTTTAATCAATGCTCTAGCTATTGCGATTCTCTACTTTTATCCACCTGAAAGCAGAGATCCCTTAAGTCCACATTTCTTACTGAACCCTTAAGAGAGTATAGTTGTATCAATGTTTTAATCTTCATTCTATTATTCGTGCATTACTTGATCTTGTGGTAACTTAAATGCCTTGCTAGGATTATGCTCTTAATTTTCGCTAAAATCATCTATAAATTAAAGAGCATTTGCCATCTCTGCAACTTCTTTTATTTAATCATCTGAAGCCTCACTGTTTCCATAGATAATGTTTTCCTTTATAGAGATGTTAAATAGTAAAGGTTCCTACATCACATATCCAATGGAGTTCCTAAGCAATTTCACATCATAATCTTTTAGATTGTTCCCATCTATTAATATGGACCCTTCTTCATAGTCATAGAGTCTTAGCAATAAATTTGCGATTGTGCTTTTACCAGAGCCAGAATGACCAACTAGAGCTACTTTACACCCCATAGGAATTTTAAGTGAAAAGTTATTCAGAACTTTCTTGTCTCTTGAAGGGTATTTGAAGCTCAAATTTCTGAATTCAATTTCACCTTATTAAATGATTTATTTTTATTGGTAGTTCATTACTTGGCCATATCTTTAATCTTATTTTACTTTTTTGTGGGTTTCTATGATCTCAAATATCTTATTGGCTGACTATTTTGACTTAGAAACTGACGGTAATTGAGAAAATAATGAACCAGAACCAATTGCAGCAATAAATAATGTATAGACTCCAACATAGGTATCCTCTGGTTCATCATTGTATTTAAAGATAAAGATGGAAGAAAGGTAGAATATAAATGCAACGAAGAGAAATCTTATGCACTGAGAATATCCATAGATTATTCCAGAAATATGAGCTTGCTTGATACCTATTCTCTTTGGTTCTTCCAATAAAGCTTGATATTTTTGAAGTAAAAATTCTACATTCTTTTCTCCAAGGCTGATAACTGTTTTATAATTTATTATGATATCTGAGAGTAGAGCATTTGCTCTATCATAAGGATCTAACTAATCTTCATTATCTTTAACTTGCTTAGTTGAATTTTTGACTGAATTCCAAAATATTATTTACTCAGCCATGCCTCCAAGTATGAGAAATGGTACCACAGATATAGTAACTAATGCCATTTTCCAAGTATTTAAAAATGATAAGGCAATGCCAATTAAAAGGCATACTGTTGCTTCAAGTATTAAAGCATATGTTTAGCTGGTAAGTCCTTTAAGTTAAGATACATCCTCTTAAAACATCCCACTCAAAATACCAGGTAAGTCCTTTAAGTTAAGATACATCCTCTTAAAACATCCCACTCAAAATACCAGGAGCTCTTTCCTTTTTATCAAACCATTCTATATTCTGACTAATCATAGAAGAAAAAAGTTTTTTTCTTATTGCAAGTGTTAAATTTTCACCAAGTTACGAATGCAAAATTCTGTTCATATATTCAAATATGCCCATACCTACAGCTAGTGCTACGAAACCTCCGCACCAAATATTCCTACTAATCACAAATGTAGGAGATAACCTTCCAAGCATTACAAACATTACTTTTGCAAAAATATATCCATACAGAGGAAATGCAAATGCATTACAGCAAGTTGTAATAATGGTCAGGAAGATTTTGTAATTAGGTTTATAAAATTTCATTATGAATTTCACTCCATATTATTTCTTCAATTAAATCGATTAAGTTGAATCAGACTAAATAATTTGAGGACTTAGTTCTCTTAGTATACTCTAAGAATCATTGAGATTGCTACTTAAGTCTCTACTTGTATTTAATTTGTGAAATTAAATCTCAAACTCTTCAGGTCCTTTCTATGAACTTTAAAATTTAGCTGGAGATTATATTGGACTCTACTCATTCCACTAGGTTTTTTGTTCTAACATATCTATTAACTCATCGTAAATTATCGTATTCTTGGAAGCTTGAATAACCTTATGATCCTTATCTAGGTATATTAGATTGTCAGCCGACATTATAGTTGAAATTCTGTGAGCAATAATGATGATTGTTAGTTTATTATCAGAGTGCTGAATTTTTTACAAAGCATATTGGACATCTTTTTCACTTTTAGGATCTAAAGCACTCGTAGCTTCATCTAATATCAAAACTTTTGGCTTCTTTATCAAGGCTCTTGCTATAGCAATTCGTTATTTTTAACCCCCAGAAAGGTTTATGATATTTGAAGAGCCAACATAAGTCTCGAGAGAGTGCTCAAGCTAATATATAAAGTCAGCGTTAGCCATCGTTATAGCTTCCTCTATATCTTATAATGATGCATCTTTATTACCAAGCAAAATGTTATCTCTAATCGTGCCCATAATTAATACAGGCTCTTGTTGAACATAACCAATTTACTCTCTCAGAGTTTTCAAATCAATGTTTTCAATTTCAACCTCATCAAAATAAATTATTCCTTTATCTGCCTTATAAAATCTCTCTATTAATTATATAATAGTACTTTTGCCAGAGCCTGAGACACCAACAATTGCTGTAGTTTTGTTTGCTTGTATCATAAATGAAATGTCTTTCAAAGTTGCTTTACTTGCTTTCTAATATTAAAAGGTAACTGATTCGAATCGTATTCCCTTATTAACTGTTAGCTTCTAAACAATTTATTCCTTTTTTTAAACATTTGATGCTCTATCTATGACATCATATATTTGGAGTCCAACCACTTTTGCCTTAATGATTCCTTAAATATTTGGACTTATTTGAAATATCATAGTTGTACAATTCATAAATGCAATTATTACAGAGATTATTTGACCAGTAGTATATTCTTTCCCAGTACTTGGATTAATGAGATTATATTATAAAAATATTGTCCCCATGTATGAGTTGAACGCGTAAAATCCGAAGATGACAAATTTTAGTAATCCAATAAAAGCAGAGGTCCATAGTTCTGATTAATCTGAAATGCACTTAACTTCTTCTGCCAATTTTTCAAATTTATTGATTTCCTTATCCTCTTTTGAGAATGAAGCAATCAATTTAATTAGCATTAAACTTTCTTCTACTACCCCACCTAACTTTTATAAAATTGTTTGTTATTTTAACGAAGTTTTCTATACTTTTTAACCAAAGAGCACAAGAATAAAAAGAAGAATGGGAAAAACGAGCAAAAATATTGCAGCTAAATCCGCTCCAGAAATCAAAGCTATCACTATTGCTGAAATTATGTTACTAATTGTAAATATTATTCCTGAGAACTTTTATCCTATAGACTCTTAAATAATAGTGAAATTTTCCCCTAGTTGGGAAGGAAGCTATTCAATATTTAAGTTTTCTAAAACTGAAATTTCCTACTTAAGTAAAGCATTCAAGTATTAAGATCTCAATTTAAAGGTGATGTTTCCAGCAACATGCTGCCAAAATCCAAAGAAAATATAGCCAAATATCCAAATCCCAAATCCAAGTAATGCAATTTGAAGTGATACTGTGTTCATTGTTTCTTTTATTTTTTCTGGAGTATTTTCAGGTTCAAAAGTATCAGCCAAATCTCCGCTCAGGAATGAAAATAGAGGCAATAATACTCCCGTTATTACTGCTGAGAAAGTTCCTATTATAATCAAAATCTTATCTGATTTTGAAATATCTCGAAAGAATCTACTAAATGGTATCGTCGACATTGTAATAGAGTTTGATGTTCAAAAGTTAATTTTATAGGAAAAAGGAATAAAGCAAAGATTTAATATCAATTGAGAATTATATATATAACATGTGATTTTCTCAATAAAATAGTCTAATTTAAAATCTTAAGCAATTGATAATAAAATAATATTAAATTCAATAAATTAAAAATGTTAAATTCATCAGAATCAAGTGTAATAATTTTTATCATGGGGTTTTGGGGTTTTGGGGG